GAGGTGAAGTGGCGGAGCGACGCGGTGTTGGGCGGCGAGGCAGCGCCGCTCGTTCGGGCTTCTCTTGGCGTCTGCGCCACCCGGGGAACTCGCCCTAGTGGGGAGCTCAGGTGTGCCCTGAGGGAGCGGCGCGCCAGAAGGGCGAATCCTGAGGTGAAATGGCAAGAGCTGGTGTGCCCTTGTGGGGAAACAGGGCTCAGGCCTGCTGCGGGGACACCGGGGCGCAAGGGTGAAGGAAGGCGAGGACAAGGGGGGCAGCGGCAGGTCTGAAGGGGACAAGTACACCTGAACTGGCCTAATGAAACCTTGGCCTCTGTGGCGTCTAAGGCACAAGCTCCAATTAAGCCTTTCCCACAGCTGGGGTGCGCTTGGCTCATCTCCTCCATGCATGCCTGAGCTCCAAATGTTTTTATGAGGTGTGTAGGAACTGCCTCCCAGACATCCGTTTGTCCAGGCCGGTGGAAATTGTCTCATGGGTTGAGAAATGACAGTACTCCTCTCACTTCACAAGCTCTTCACCATCCGGCTTACTTAATGTACACGTTTAAGAGACCTGTTCTGCCTGGCAGTCATTTATCGAGGCGGTGCTGTGGCATTTGTCTCCATTAAAGGCACAGAATCTCTCTGGCGTTGCCTGCCAATATCCAGAGCACAAGGGAGAAGAGACTAATGAGGAAACAGGCCCACATGCAGGAAAGGATTCAGCCCAAACCCTGCTCATTGATCAGGGATGGCAGTACAATTGCTGACAAGGCATTTTTCTGGATTTCCCTCCTTCACTCAACACCAAATCTCATTTCCAGAAATAGTTTAGGGACAAATTCCAGAACCAGTATATACAGTAATGGAGAGTTCAAGACTTACAGTATCAATGTGCTTTCCACTCAGAGCATTGTTTATGCTGTAGCAGGGCCAAGCTATTACTGCTGAAAAACAAAATTTGGATTAAACAAGGGTTTAGAAATTGTTACACCTGAAATTATTTATCAGAAGCATTTACTACAGAGAAAAGGTTGTTGCCTGAAAAATTGATCATGTCTTAAAAGTATGTTAGTCCTAAATGAAGGTTTCAGATCTTTAATTCTTGTGATATTTTCTATTTCTTTACTTACTTTCACAATCACATTTTCCTGGGAGGGGAGCATCCTGCAAAAAAAATTATGGAAAGGAGTGCAATTATTAATTCTGGAATATGAACAGACCTTCCTAAAAATACCTTGGGATATTTAAGATTTTCTGTCCATATTTTAAAATAAATTATAAGTTCTAGATTCCTAAATGCCTTTAAAAATCTAGGAGTTGGTTCTGTATAACAAAACATGGGGTTACATTTTTTTCCACATATGGTTATTTTATTCAGACTTAAGATGTATTTTTATTTAATTTATGGACACTTTTGAGTATATCGCTTCTGATTCTCTGGAAGGACTTTTATTCCATATAGTATGTAAGTTTATCTAGTTTTCTTCCATAGAAATACCTCCAAAGATATCAGAAGTTTGGTGTCTTAATGTAAGAGGAAGATGGATTTGTTTCATGCTTACAAAGAATTATCCACAGAATAGCAAGACAAGAACAAAAAGAAAAATTGTGCTTTACTGTCTTGAAAACTAACTGAAATGAAATCTTTTCTCACTTTACTAT